AAATGAATTGAAATGGCACATAAAATAAAGAAGAACAGCTGTGCACCCAAATTCATGGGTTGGTACAATCTCCTTCACGTAAGTCTTCATAGTGATGCACCGTGGCAATAAAATGTGTTCACGAACAAGAGGATGAACAAGTAACGGGTATGGGGATACATTCATCACAATGTATCTCATGATGCCTCTAACAGGCCATCCGACAGATGCGGAAGCGGCCCTGTCGGATCCACCACAATGTTTGAATTTCAAGATTTCACATTTCAAGTTCTATTTCTCAGAGCAAAAACAAAAAAACGAGGTCTGGAAATCAACCCCCCTCCTTTCGAGTCCATAAAATACAGACTTCCCGCCCACGCAAAGCCACGAGCTATCATGTCCAAATTTGTTTTTTAAACATTTTTTTTGTTTTTCGACGCATCTCATTGGACACAAGGTGGGCATCTCTAAAGTCCCCACTTGGAAACTACCAGGCCATTGAGATCCGATGTATTCGACGGCCGTACTGCGTCACTCAAGGTCACACGTGATCGAAATCCTGAACGAGTGGTAGAATACTTGGCTAACGGGTCCAGGCCCCAGGGCCTGAATCTACACTATACTTCCAAAAAAAAAAAAGAACTTTCCGATTACAGACCCGCACTTTGCTCCACTACTCACAACATCCACACAAGACAAAAAGTTTACAGTTATCCTACCATGTTCTAGCAGAAGATTCATTCTCATTTTGCACATTTGGTGAGCAGTGAAGGCAGCCCCAATGTATCCTCGATTTCTTTTTTTCTAATGTATCCTGGATTTCGCTTTTAGAGGTCTCCCCAATTCAGGAGGCCAAAGTGACAGCTGGCGCCCATGCCCCTCTTTTTATGGTCCTTTTTTGCTGCTCAAGTGCCATTTCGTAACACTCCCGAACTCAGACCAATGTATTTCCCTCCCCACCCCTCTTGGTCTCCGCTACATCTGAGGCAGGCATCCACTTATCTATACTCTTTCTAAAGGGAAGGGCGGGTCTCGCATGACGCTGCTGTGAAGCCGACCTCCCTGTGTTGGAAAAGAGGCTGGGGACAATGCGTGGGCCCAAGGGGAACTTGCAGAAATCGCAGGTTGTTTTTTATGTGCTCCGTGTGAGTTCGAAGGGCGGCCCAGCATGGTAGAAGTGTTTCAGGGCCGTAGGGAGGTGTTTTTTTCTTTTCCCACGCGTGAACAAGTTCAAGGTGTGCCTGGGAAAAAGGCCGCGCCCAACCAAATTGCATCTGCGACCGGCGGCGCAAAGTTTCTGGAACGGAAGCAGCATGAACGACCATAGTTGCAGACGTGTGGATGTGCATGTGTGCTATCGCAGCAAGCTGCAGCGAGCCGTGGCTGGAAGCTGCCATCGTTGGTTGCAGGGTTATGGGTTGCATGACAAGTGCCGATGTGTGCTATCGTGAATGTGTGTGTGTGTGTGTGTGAGAGAGAGAGAGAGAGAGCGGGAGGGAGGGAGGGAAAGAGTGAGAGAGAGAGGTGGTCAATCATTGTATGCGTGGCTGCTTCGTACACTCTCTCTCTCTCTCTGCCCCTCCCTCTCTGTGCGCGGGATTCATGGGGAAGATCAGGATGGGTGAGGATAGCACGGCAATGACGGAGAAGGCGATCACAATGCTCATGTGTGCCATCTCTCTCTCTCTCTCTCTCTCTCTCTCTCTCTCTCTCTCTCTCTCTCTCTCTCTCTCTCTCTCTCTCTCTCTCTCTC